TCAGATGGTTCTCAGAGAATGGGGGACACACATCACTGATGCAGACCTTCTTAGGGCTCACTTTTCTTTCCTAAGTGCACTGAGTCTGCCCAATACCCTGGAACAAGTGCCTAGCACGGTGCTATAGAGCTACATGGAAGCCTTCTTTGTACACACCATTCATTCATTAATTCATTCATTCATTCAACACCACGCACCAAAGCCGCCTGCCTTCAAGGAGCTCACAACCCAGTGGGGAGAAAGAGGCTTCTAAGCTCACAAACCACTGGGAAAGCACTGGGAACCCATCATGCTCAGATCACTTCACACTTTGTAAAGAAATCTTTCCAGCATTGACAACTGTCTGACAAGGGGAGAATTGGGGGGCCTGGTGAGGAAGGGGTCCCCGTCACTCTAGCAGAGTCAGGGCCCTTTTGCCAAGGATGTGGGGAGGGGACTCCAGCTCCATGCAGGGTCTGGGCAGCTGGGCTTGTCCTCCACAGGTGTGGGACTCACAGGAGGAGCCCAAAGTGCAGGGTTCAACTCCCACAACGCCCTTGACAAGCTCTGTGGACCCTGGCCAGTTACCTAATCTCCCTGTGCCTCGATTTCCTCACCTGTAAAATGAGGGTAATAACAATGAGGATTAAATCCATTAACGTTTATAAAGCCTTTTCTAACGTGGCCTGACGCACAGGGAGAGTAAGGAAGGCAGAGTCCCTTTGTAAGATTCTAATTCCCAGAGCAGAGCATGCGAACACTCCAAGTGTCAGAGTTTCTGAGGCAGAAAGCTTCTCAATACTGAGATTCTGAGACTGGCAGGGACTGGGATTCCTAGATCCTAGATCCCGTGCGCGATTTCATCATCTCATTATTTCCTAACAACAGCCCGGAGCCTCCCAGGGGAGGAGAGGACAGGGCTCCGTGTCACTTCAGTGTCACTTCATCTCCCGGGCGCTGCCAGGGCCGCCGCCACACCTGGGCTCCCAGCATTTCCTCACCTCCACGACAGCCCCAGTCACACCTGCTGGGACCAGCTGCCCACTCGCCTGCACGGTCTAAGCATGTTCCAGTGGTGCAGACAGACAAGAAGTGCAAATAAACAAATACATGAGAACGTTTCGGATACTGGTAAGAGCCACAAGAAAAAATAAAAAAGGGCTGACATGGCCGAGAGTGAGAGTGGGAAGCTATCACAGAGCAGGTGGTCAGGGAAGCCCCTCTGAGGAGGTGACATTTGAGTTGAAACCTGTGAAACAAGAAGGTGGCAGCCATGTAAACATTTAGAGGCGGGGGGTGTGCAAAGGCCCCGCCAAAAGGCTTGGTAAATTTGAGGTACAGAAAGAAGCCAGTGCAGCTGGAGACGGTGAGACCAGAGGTAGGGGTGGGGCGGGTGGGGGTGCAGGGAGCTGAGGTTGAGGGGTGGGCAGGCCCAGACCTGAAGGGCCTTGTAGGCCGGCAGTCCCTTGTAGGACTTTGGATTTTTTGTTCATCTGAATGCCTAGGAAACATTAGAAACGCCTCAGCAGTGGGATGACAAGGCAGAGCAGGGCTTTCGGGGTCCCCACACCTTTTGGCTCTTTCTGAAAACACCATGATAGTTTTAAAAATCCAGGTTGAGCCCAGGCTGGTAATTAGCAATCCTTGTAATTCAGTCGGTGAATAATGAGCTCCTACCACAGGCCTGGCCAGGGCTGGGAGACATGCCGGACACTCTTGTTATCACTCCCAACAACCGATGAGAGTTTCACAGAGTTTCATGCCCCGATGCCCCACTTTAAAGTTCAAAAACCTGAGGCTCAGAGAGAGGAAGGAAGTGCCCAAAGTCGCACAAACCATGCACCACACTGTGCAAGCTGTAAAATTCAATACACAGATGGGACTTGGTCCCAGGACCCAGACTCAGGACCCAGACCCACAGTCTGTGGAACTCCTTTGGTATTTTTAAGCCGCCTCTTCTCCTGGAGACCTTCCCTGGGGCCTCGTGTAGACACCAGGCATACTGCCCTGGCTAGTGCGATACGCACCCGCAGTCTCACAGCCTTTCCCTGTTGGCTTTAGAGGACTGTCCAGCCTGGGCTAGGTGTGCCGGGGATTGGATGGTTGGATGGACAGAGAGATGAATGGACTAATGAAATGACTAGTCCAGTAAACTAATGAATCAATGAAAGAATAAAGAATCTGGCAGACCAATAAACAAATAAGCCAACGGATGGGCGATGAATGAATGAAGGAACAACTCTTACTTTACAGAGAAGCAGGGCAGAGAAGTGCCTGGAGGCCGGCTAGCTTCAGACCCAGTCATACCTCACCCACACACCCGCTTCCTCTCCGCCCGGGGCCATTCGCCTCCGTTTCCCCAAGAACTCGGGGAGCCTATTCCTCAGCCCCTGGGACAGACCATGTCTCTAAGTGTTGGCCACTGCAGTGCGCCTGCACAACCAGCGATCACAGCTCTCCTGAGCCCAGTGGAGCCCGCGGTGGGGAGAGTGGCTCCCTCTCCCTCTGCGTGCCTCACAGAGGAAGGAAAATGAGACACCAGGGCTCGGGTCCTAGCTGGGCCCTGAATCGCTGGGTGACTTCAACCCAGTGGCTTCCCGCCTCTGAGCCCAGATGACTTCTCAGGGCCTTTTCAGCTCTGACTGTTGTAGGGGGTGGGCCTCTAGATTTTTACAGTCGCTGGGTCAGCAGAAGTTGAGTGATCAAAATCTAGAAGGTGGGAAAGAGTTCTGTCTACGAGCACCAAAGTCCACCTAGGAAAAGGCCCCCAGACGAGGAGCCGGGACGCTTTGGATTAAGCCGTCCTCTGCCACTGCTCAACTTCTGCAAGCCTGTTTCCTAAATTTTCAGATGGGGTTAAGTGTCCTTGACAATTTCACCCCAACAGAGTTCCTGCGAGGCCTGATGTGATAAGGACCATGCACTACACTGTGCAAACTGTAAAGTTCCGTTCACTCCTGAAGGGTTACTATGGGGAAGGGCTATTACGGGCAGGGCGATGTGCTGTCGCATTCTAGTTTAGTTCTTTCCAAAATGACCCTCTCAGGGGTCAGGGCCAGAGAACAGTGGAGAGAGCCCAGAAGCGGGAGCCTGAACATCTGGGTCCCTGACTTAGCATCCCAACTGGCAATGTGACTTTGGCCAAGTCACTCCCCCTTCTCTGGACTTGTTTCTTCATCTGAAAAATGCCTGGCTTGGTACCTATGGCCCAGACATGCAAGTTGTACAGCCCTAAACTCTGAAACCCCACCTTGAACCCGACTGCCCTCGGGGAGCTCACAGTGGCCCCGTGGAGCTGGACAGACCAGAAATAAGACTCGAGGTGTCACTCCTCCAAGAGACACCAGGGCAGGGGCCAGAAGGGCTCGGGGTCCTCCCGGGACACATACTTTCCCAACAGAGGAAAGACCAGGCCCCATGAGCCCAGGTGCCTTGGACAGCGCCAGCCACCCCAGGCCTGGCCTCCCGAACCCCTCTGCAGGGTGCAGAGCCAGCAGGCCCTGATCTAGAGAGAGACTTCAGGAACTACACTGCCCCCAACACAGGAGCCTTCAGGGTGCTAGCAGGGGTGGCAGAAAAGGGTAGGAGCCACCACAGGCAAGAGGCTCAGATGACCCCCACTAGCAAACCAGCAGAGGCCCCCCAACACCAGACAACCTCACAGACAGGACCCAGGGGAGCTTCCGGCAGTACCCAGCCAAGAGCCCACCCCTGGGGGCATTCACCACCAGATGCCACCTCCTGCAGCAGGAGGCCTACCAGGGTGGGGAAGGGGCTCGCCAACTGCCAACCAAGCGCACTTGCCAGAGGGCTCTGGGAGCCTCCCTGGCACCCAGGGCAGGATTCCGGACTACAGGGAGGCCCCGGCCACCCAGGGAGACAGGCCCACTCCCCACACTCACGGCTGGAGGGCAGGGTGCTGGAGAGCAGGTTCATTTCCTCCTGCCTGGAGTCTCACGCGGAAACCCTGGGCCCACTCCGAGCCCTGACTGCCGGCCCTCTCCCTCCAACCTGAGACCATAGTTCCTTACATTTTATACAGGCTCTTCCAAAAGACGTTTCCTGGTCCCCCCAAGTCCCCATCCCCAACCCCCCACAGGCCTCCCGCAGCTCTGAGGAAACCAACAGTTAACTTTTCCCAAAAATTCCTGCAAAGGCGACTGTCTGGGGGGAGAAATGGACCCCGAGATCCTTTCGCGGCATTTCACCGCCTTCAAAAAAAAAGAGTGAGATAGAGAGAGAAAGAGAGAGAGGGAGAGAGAGCTTTAAAAAAAAAAAAGAAGAAAGAAAGAAAAGAAAACTTTCCGAGTTAACTTTAAATTCCCAGCCCTACCCCCCAAATCGCCCAGCGGCTTCCTTTTTTTTCTTTAAAGTGCAATTGCATTGTGTCTCACCTCCCCGAAAGGCTCGCGGCTCTCGCCAAAGAAAAGGGGAAAAAAGCCAACCCTTCGGGTGCCCCCTCTGCTTCCAGCCGCCTCTCCCACATTCTCAGACAGTTTTATTAAAATTTTCAGACAAAAGAAAAACAAAAATGGCAGCCTGGCTTATTTTTAAAACAGGACAGGGACGCCATATTCTGCAGATCTGCAAAAAAAGGGAGAAATCCGGCACTGGCCGCTCCACCCGGCCGGCTGCAAAGTGCGCGAACCGCGCCGTTTGCTACCCGTTTATTTGCATTAAGTCCCATGAATCATTGTTTACCGGAGAATTGCAGCAGGTTTGAATAGCCCGGCTTAAGAAAAACACACACACACACACACACACTCGCTCACTCTCGCACTCGCTCGGAGCAGACAGACACGCCGCGGAGGCACTTCCTACCCGCGCGCCGCCGCCGCTCCGGGCCCCGCCGCAGGCGCAGGCGGCCCCGGGCCCTCGGAGCGCCCGGCCCGCGCTGACAGCGCCCGCGCCGCGGCCCGCACCCCGCCCGCAACTCCGCGCAACTTTCCCGCGGGCGGGCGCTCGGGCGGGCACCCGCCGCCACCGAGCCCGCTCCCCCCGCGCCCCGGGCCCGCACGGACCTGGCTGTGCGGCGGCGGCTCCGGCACGCGGCCGCAGCCCCGCGCCCGGCGGCCCGAGCAGGGCCGGGCTGGGGCTCCGGCTCCCGGCTCCGGTCGGTGCGGAGCCGCGCGCAAACCTTCCGGGTCGCCTGCTGTTCACTTCTGGGTTCTGCACGCCGAGGCGGCGGCGGCGGCGGCGGCGGGAGGCTGGGTCTGCAGCGCCGCGCGGCCCCCCGTGTTCTCGGCGAGCCCCCGCGCCAGGCGCCCGGCTCCGGGGGGGCCGCGTCGGGCCCCCGCCTCTCCGGCTGCGCAGCCCGTCCGGCCCCGGGGGCTCCCGCGAGTGGGCAGCGCCGGGCGCGGGCGACGGCGCGCGAAGGGAGGGGGCCGGGCAGGGGGCGGGGGCGGGCCGCGCGCTGGGGGCCCCGCTCGGGCCCCGGGGCCTCGTCTGGCTCTCGCCGCCGCCGCCGCCTCGCAAAGTTGCGCGGCTCCCACCGTCCGCGCCGCGCCGGAGGCAGAGCCACAAAGGAACTCCTCGCCCCCCTCCGCCCTCCCGAGCCGCGCGGGGAGGGCACCGGCGCCCGGCCCTAGGCCAGCCCCTTCCCCAGCGCGGGGGCTCCCGGGGCCCCGGCGGCCGCGGCCATTGTCCCGCCCTGGCTGGGCCGCCGCCTGGCCGCCCCCTCCCCGGCGATGGGGACCTGGGCCTGGCGAGCCATGGCCCGGATCACGGCGACCCCGCGCGGCGGCAAGGCTGCCCCTGGGGGTCTCCTTCGCAGACGCAGGCAGGAGGGGACCCTCAGAATGGGCCCCCACACCTGGGAACCAACGATCGCGCTCAAAATCCAGGCTGAGATTATTTTTTTAGACGAGAACATGGGGATGGGGGTCGGGAGTTTGGACAGGCCAGGCCACCCCTCCCTCGCTAGGCTCCGGCCCGCCCTGGATCTAGGCCCGAGCCCCCAAAGGGTGGGGCCGCCCCAGGCTGTCAGCGGCTCTCCTCGCAGAAGCTATCAGAGGTGGCACCGGCTGTCCCCCGCTCCAGACCTCAGAGCCATCTGTGTGTGACTCCTCCTCCCGCCTCACCCTCCCCAGCCAATCAGTCACCAAGTCCTCCGGATTCGGCCTCCCGGGCCGTGTCAGCTTCCAAACTTCACTTCTACCTGAGGTGGCCAATCCCCGGCTCCCGGACCCAGCTCAGACTCCTGTGTCCCTGACTGCCACCCAGCCTCTAGGCCACGATGAATCGGGGCTGGCCCTGCCCTCAGGGAGCACCCAGTCCCCGGGGGGAGGGCACACACACAATCGCCTGCCGCTGCCTGCCCTCCTGCAGGAGGCATTTCCCAGGGTGCGGGCAGTGCTGATACCTGCTATCAGCACCTCTACCTGTTGGCTGGAAACAGCTCTGAACAAGTTGGACAAAGTGCCTGCCCTCAGGGCACTTCCCCGTCCAGCGCAGATAAGGCTGTGAGCAGCTGGAGGGCAGGACACACATAGACCTTTGTTTTCAAGCCCCAGTCCAAGCGACGTTGGGAAGTTCAGTGAGATGATACATTTTAAAATGGAGAGAAGGGACAACTCTCTCATGCAGAAGGATTCCAAATAACTTATGTAGGCAGTCCAGGAGCTGGAGCATAACTCTCCACTCCTTACGTGTGAGCTGTGCACTGCAACGTCCAAAGTGTACAGTATGAAAAAGGAAGGGAGCCCTGGCCGTTTGGCTCAGTGGGTAGAGAGTCAGGGCACATACCTCAGTTGCAGGCTCAATCCCAGGCCCTGGTGGGGGAGGCAACCAATCAATGAGCCTCTCCGCCTCCCTTCCACTCCTTGGGGGAAAAAATCAATGGAAAAAGTATCCTCAGGTGAGGGTTAACGAAAAAGGAGGGGGAAAGTAAATTCACAGGGGAAACGCTAAACAACTCCTACCTCAGCCAGGCAATCAAGGCCAACGTCGGCAGTCGCAAGTCCTGTTGACAGTATGTGCGCTTGATATGCAATGAAAATGACACTTTACCTCTGTGGACTTCCTCCCAATAACCTACGACCCCAGTCTTGTCATGAGAAAAATACCAAACTCAAATCACGGGTCTCCTACAAATATCTAACTAGGACTCCTTGAAACGGCCAAGACCATCAAGACAAGGAAAATCTCAGAAACTGTCGCTGCCCAGAGGAGACTAAAGAGACATAACAATTGCAATAGGGTATCCTAGATAGGATCTTGGGACAGAAGAAAGGCATCAGGTAAAAACTAAGGAAATCTTAATAAACTGCGGAATTCGGTTAATGATGTAACAAAAGCATCCATCAATAAATAATTATAACAAATATACTAACAAAAGATATTACCAGTGGGAAAAACTGGGGGGGGGGGGGGGCGGGGGAGGCGGTATATGGGAACTCTCTAATATTTTCTCAATATTTTTGTAAATCTAAATCTGTTCTAAAAAATAGAGTCCAATAAGAAAAAATAAATCCCCGAAAAATGTACTAGCCATGTCATTGCTGATGTCATTGTTAGTCAATGACATAATGCTTGGCATGGCACCTCACATATTGTAAAAGGCCCAACAAATATTATTATGTTATTATTATCATCCTCATTGTAATTCTCGGCACTGAGAATAGCATCTGCAAAGGCACCAGAGTTTAGGGTTGAAAGGAAGATGGGAGGCAGAATCCTGAACGCTTTGACTGCTGGGATGAGGTCTTGATAGGGGGGTTATGGGGGGCAAGTAACATGATCTGGCCCATCTGCCTCACCAGAGCCTCCTGTCTGGCCACCTGGAAAGCTATGCTCTCACCAGACAAAGTGAGCTGCCCTCTCAGGCCTCGCCATCTCCCCTCTAAGGCCTGTGAGCATGCTGTTCCCTCGGCCTGGATCCCCTCCCTTGTCTTCTCATCACACCTCTCCTGGTCCCTTCAAGCCATCCTTCAGATCTTAACTTAGACGCTCTCTAAAATGTCTTCCCGGACCAGCCAAGATGCCTTCAATATGGTCAGTGCGGGCTGAGACGCAAGAAGCCAGAGATGGAAGCACTGAGCTCATCTCTTTGCCATTGGCACCCAGACTCCCCTGCCCCAAATCCAGTCACACTAGATGCTGCCCCACACTGTGAAGCTCTGTGTCTGCAAGCCTCTGTCCATGCTGTTCCCTCTGCTGGGGATCCTTAGTCCTTTTCTCCCCATCTCATCTCTGGCAAACACCTATTTATCACGGCTCAGCTTAAACATCGCCTCCTCTGTGCAGCCATTCTAGATCCTCACATGGGAAGAGGCACTTTCCTCTGATTCCCAAAGAGCACCTGTTCCTCTGGCCTCACTGCTGGCAAAACTCTTATGGTGCATTAGAATAAGTATTTGTTGAATGGATGAATAAGTGATGGGATAGACAGCAAACCCACTCTCATTCTCTCAAAATATTCAATCTTCCTTATTCTCTTCCAGGAAGTCCTCCATGACTGCTCCAACCCACGGACTCCCTCCTTTTTCTTTAACTTTTACAATTTAGCCACTGATTATATTCTCACGGTTGTGCATATAAGTATTACTACAGTAAATTATTTGAGAAAGCAACTACTAGTATGAGATCATATATATATATATATATATATATATATATATATATATATATTCTGTTTTGGGTGGGGTTTTTCACTCATTCAACAAATATTTACAAAGCACCTACTTCTGTGTTGCAGATAGGGTCTCAGGCTCTGGAGAGGCAGTGAACAAGACACAGGCCCTGCTCTGATAGAGCACTAGTTAGCATAAATAGTCAGGATAGACCAGACCGTGCTGCAGTAACAAAGAACTCTGAAACCTCCATGACATAACACTTGTGCCACATACCCATCCTAGGTCCTTGCTGGGGTCCAACCCCAGCAGGTCCAGGGGTCCCCAAAGGTGTGGACGGAGTCGGCGAAAAAGGAATGACACAGAGACAGCGTTCAGTTAATCAGCAGCCTAGCCAGGATCTCTAGCCAGGATCTCCAGCCAAGTTCTGGTCTGGATCTCCAGCGAAGTTCTGGTTAGGATCTCCAGCCAGGTTCTCTGTCCATGTTCTCTTGTTAGGTTCTCCAGGTTCTCCAGCCAGGTTCTGTAGCCATGTTCCCTCAGCTCTAGTCACCCACAGACCTAGGCTGAGAAGTCCTTATCATCTTGAAGCTGCACCCAATGGAACATGTGGCTTTCTTAGTTACCAGGGCAGGAGAAGAGCATTGAAGAATTGTATGAAGGTTTCACACTGCTTCAGCTGGAAAGGGATGCACATCACTTCTCCTCATTATCCATTGGCCAGTATTAGTCACGTGGTCCTGCCCAACTGCAAGGGAAGCTGGGAAGTACAGTGTTCCCCTGGAGGGCAAGCGAAGTGGACATTGGTGAACTCTCCCAGTCTGTTCCAGGAGACAGAATTTAACAAGTAATCAAGGAGCGCTGTAATTAGTCTCCATAGCTACAAAGGACAGGTTTGAGGTGTCAGGGGTGTGGGTAAGTGAAGATCAAGGAGAACTGCCCAGAAGAAGGGATGTTCAAGCTGAGATCAGGGAAGAGACGAGAGAAAAAAAGCTTTCTGGCAGGAAGAACAGTGTGTGACGCTTCTGAGGCAAGAAGGCACTGGCCATATTAAAGGGCCAGAAAGGATAAAGGAGCTCGAGGGCAATGAGGGGGGACTGCAAAATGACACTGAGGGCTGGGCGTCCTAGGTGGGCCCTGGCAAGGAATTAGGATTTTAGCTTAAGAGCAATAGGAAGTGTGGGGAGGTGGGCATTAAGTAGACAAATGATGTGGTCAGAATTCTTTTCAAAAGGTTCATGTGGCTGCTGGGGAAAGAATGGATTGGAATGGGGCAAAGCAGGAAGGCCAATAGGAGGCGTTCAAAATTTTCCGGGTGAACAACGGTGATGGCTTGGACCAGGGTGGCACTAGCAGAGGTGGAAAGAGGTGGACAGATGTGGGGCGCGGCTACCGTGTTTGGACAGGTTTAACCCTTTGCGGTCATATGTCTGCTCTCAGCCACCACAGCAAAGAACCGTACGAATCTTAACTCTATTCATTCATGTATCAGTTCATAATTTCTCTGAAAGCTCTTAAGTGTCTAAGCGACCTTGTCAAGAACCAAAACATTGCCCCGACAAATCGGAGATATCGAAACTCAATATAAACAAACGCGGTCGTTCCACACTCGCCATGCAAAACACCGTGGCGAGTCAGTCGCCTTTTGAGAGTGAAGAAATCGACAAGCTTCGGAGATCCTTCGCAGAATTTCAAATAAAGCTTTACAAATTACGTTTAACTGTAATTAGGCATTCTCGCTTGTTAAGATATTTCAAAATAATACTCCAAAATGGCAAAAAGAA